AGGGACCATGTGTCTGAGCTGACCTGGTGTCGCCTTGGGGTCCCCCAGAGCAGCTGGAGGAGGTGTGTGTGGAAGTCTGTGCTTCTCTGCTTAGACTGTTGCCTCCGCAACCCGCCCCCAGATAAAGCGGAAGAAAAGGGATAGATAGGTAAATATCAAAGAAATCATGGATGATCAACCTGTTAAAAGCAAATTTTATCACTCTCTTCAATGTAATGAGTTTACAAACACAAGGACTTCTACGCCTTTAAAAAACATAATGAAGAGGCAGGTTAAAGCTGTTAGGATGAGTTCATCTGCAGTGACAGCAGGCGTGTCATAACATCAGCTAAGAAGCAGTGGAGGAAGGAAAAACTGAAAACCTAACATAAGTAACAGGTTAAAGTTTGAAAATAGATTCAGGGGCTTTCATATTTGAAGACATGTGCTGTTGTCTGATGAAACAGAATGAAACGGTTGACAATAATAACCATTGCTACATTTCAGCGTTAAAATGGAAAGATGGAAATATTGAATGTCAAATGAAGCTAAGCAAATTAGTAACAAAGTGGCTTGAGGACCAATTCAGGACTTATTGATTCGGGTATAGGGCTTGGAGTCCTTAGGTTCTGGGTTCAAGTCCCACCCCCACAGACTGCCACTGTGGCTTTCTGAGCAAGACCCTTAACCCCACACTGCTCACTGGGCGCCCCATTACGGCAGACCAAATGCAGAGGTACGTTTCCCCAATGTGAGATCGATAAAGTTAAATTATTATTATTATGTTCTGAAAAGGTCATCATCACCTGAGTTCATGACCCTCACAAGACGTGTGGGTAGAGGTGAAAAAACAAACCTGACTCAGATACAAGACTTCCCAGCAAACTAAGAGGAAACTAATGAGGTAGGAAAGAAAATTTTCCTACCTCATTATTCTGATATTTACCATATCAACATGAGTCACTCGTCCTAACTGACCTGAAACAAGTTGAATCAGATTTATAAAGAAATTCTTTTAAATGTTAGCAATTCAAATATACCTAAAAAGTAGAACAGCACTTTTGTTTGGTAATGTGATTAAATGTGGAAGGGCTAAAGAAGAATTGCTACTTTTCCCGTCAGTAAATACTTGACCATCTGTGTAAGATTTTTTAAAATCATTTTTAAGAAGTGGTTGTTTTTAACATTTTCCTTTGCCAGTGAGATCGTTTTGGGATAATTTGCAACACGTGTTATTTCCTTCACCTCTTTCCATAAGAGCAGAAATAACTAAAACACTTAAAACAGACTATTTCAGATGGAACCGACTGGGAGCTCAGATCATGCGACCCCAATCTATGGACGTTTCTTTATTCCCCAAAGATTTCCAGATCCAACGTGGCATCCCTCCAAAGTCTTACGGGAGCAATTAAATGTCCCTCTGAGGACAATAACTCTTTAAAAGGAGCTGAGAGATCAGATGGAGAAACCTGTTCAGGCTGTAAAATCTCCCCAGAGACCAGAAACTGTGATTGACAAACAGAAGAGGGAAGATTTTAGCAGATGAAAAATGATCTTTCCTGGAAACTTGCATTGTTCTCTCACCTCATCACAGTTGGTTAGTCACACACCTAAAGAAGGATGTTTTAGACATCTAAACCTCTAAAAAAATACTGCTGACTTTAAGAGAACTAGATGGAAAAACATTGTGGATGGGATTTTCAGCACTGCAGATGGGAATCATAGAGAATCCAACTTTTTGGTCAGGTTGTTTTTATTCTTTTGGTCACTTGATATTATATCCATATTTAAATAAATCTGTTTCACTGTATTCTTTCTCCCGTGCAACCTTGATCACACTGTAATGAGTTCAAACTGTAAAACTTGGACCAAAAACGAATGTTTTCATCATACGTGCTTCAATACGTTTTCCAGTAAACCTAAAACTTTTATCAGGTATTTTTATGGTTTTTCCAGACATTTGTTTCACCATCATTTGTTTAAACACTGCAAAGTGAAAACATTTCTCAGATGGAGATTTATATCTTTCTTTCAAACATATGTTTCATGGGTATCAGTTTAAAGCAGATGGTGAGAGGGTCTGTGGCTGCTGATCGTTGGTGTGATTTTCAGGGAGGCTTTAAATTCAGACCTCCTCCTCTTTCCTGTCTCTGAAGAGGCCTCCCTGGTTTAAAAAATAAGCTAATATATAACCACAAGTTATCTTAGAGCTCAAGTTTCTTGGGATGCCTACAGCTTTTCTTGGTACAATCAGGAAAAACTCATCTTTAAGCCTGTGGTTTATGTTAAGCTTTGTATCTTTTAGTTAATTATTAACAAAGTGCAGCACATTCAGTATCAACATGTGGGGTTCTTCAGAACCAGTCTTCAAATCATCTCTTTTGGATTTTATACCAATTGATTAGCTTTTTTTTTCCGTAAACTGCATTCTTCATGAATTTTCTTTTCCATTAGGCACATTTCTCTCGTTTTGCAATTAGCCTGAGTTGTTGATCCCTTCAACAAGAGAGGAATGAAGAGTAATGGAGGAAGGAAGGATGTAAGGAGGGACAGGTAAAGGGACATTAAACAGATTAATGTAAACAAAGAAGACCTGGCAAGATTGTTCATGTGACAACCCTCATGTACAATGTGTAAGGTGCTTTATATCAAGGAGAAAGAAAATAAAGCATCAAAGTATCGAATAAAAAATGCTTGTTATGCGTTAAATAGTAAATAAAGGCACATGTAGGAGGATTGAGCACACCAGGGACCCGAGGAAAAAAAGGAATAAAAACAGGAAGGACACAATGAGGAAATGAAACAACAGCTAGATACTGGGGGATGGGAATAAAATCTTCAAAAATTAGTATTTTTTTGTTCTTATCCAACATTAGAAAGTACTTAAAATCCAAACAGACTATCTAGGGAAGTCTGTATTTAATTCCACAAACAGCTACCTGCATCCTGGAAGCTTTACAACCATCAAGTCAGCTAATTTTATAGCTCTAGACAAACTCAAGACGCAGCCATGCACTGAAAAAAGGAATTCCTTGTTTCTTCACTCTCTCACACACGTCTGAACACAGTAGCTATGCACGTGCGGACCGTGGATAGTGGAGATAAAGGACACGCCCTGACTGAATACAGGATCCTAAAACAACAGATGCACCTGCAACATAACATGAGTAATTCTACTTTATGGATATTTGCATTATTTCCATTTATTCTTCATAAAGTGATGCACAAAGCTTCTAATTATCACAACACTGTGAATGTTTTATATGCAATAACAGCTAGCCATATAACTATTTATGTAACGGTGAATGTCAGCTAATCTATAGAAAAGAAGATGATTGGAAAGAGGAAAGCCAGTATTGGTAGACCACAACTCAGATTTGCCTAAAAACATAGGAATAGAGGGTACAGATGAGATGGAAGTTATACAATTTTTGACCTTCATGCAAAAGACTTTGGTGAAAAAAATTAAATATTTGCTACATATAGATACTGATGGTAAAAAAAAAAAAAAA